AAAAGAAGCAGCAGGATGTGTGAAATTTCAAATAGATGAAATCAATAGGATAAAAATTAAGACACCATTTTACGTCGGCAAGCTATTGCAGCAACGCAGAAACTAGCCGCCTTGGTTGTAATCCCTAGCTGCTGGTCAGCCAGCAGGTGATCAGTGTAGAATATACCAGATTTACCTGGTATTTTTTGTAAATCTTATTACCCATTATTTTCTATGGGAATCAATTCGGATTGCTCTGTATCATTCCTTCAGCGGGAGGTGGCTCCATTTTAACCCAAAACAATGGCATGTGTGAATAACACTAGAGGCTTTATCACACAGGGAGAATCTGTAGTTTATACCATACAAATCCCGAAGAAAACACGTAATTATGCACAACAATTTCCCATGAGACAAAACCCATAATTAAAGTGGTCAGAAAATGGTGTTATCCCAGATCTTTTTTACTTTCGGGATTTTAGCGAAAATGCATTTGCGATATTACTGTAATTGCGCATTTACTCTAGTGTGAAAGTCCGATTTGGTTTATTCACGCAATAATCCTCCTTCCACTCGTTTTTCCGTTTTTCCCATGGATCTGCGGGGAGCCGCTTTGACTTTCTGTTTTGCTTGGGCGACAAACATGCCAGGCAGACATCACCCTCTCCATGTTCTCTTTCTAAAATTTCCTGTCTGGTAATATTTCACGGTGCTATGCATCCCTTTGCGCATGTGCGAGTTTACCATTCCTACTTCATATACGGAATTCCTTCACTTTTGTATGAAACACAATAGCGGGTTTTTTCACTTTCGTTATTGCGCATTTATTCGAATTGCGTGCGATATTCATTTGTGCAATGAAACATTATTTTCGCTTTATTTTCGGGATGGTTTATTTGCGCTTTATTATCTTTTTAAAGATGGAACTGGCCCCTGTACGCTAAAGTCCTAGGGTTAAAATGACTCGGAAGAGATTGCAAATGCAAAAGAAAAGGGGAAGGACAAACCCAGTGTATATCAGCGTGGCGATCTGCATTTCTTCAGGACAAAAAAATGAGTTTGAATGGACTCCGTGAACGAAAGACCCCCAAACCACTCTGTCCTCAACAGCCCCGCTCAGGTCTTGCAAACTCAGGACAGCCGTAGCTTCCTTCATTGAATCCATCCGTCTTGAATGCAATCTTTCTCTTTTCCTATAGCCTTCCGCGCTACCAAGCATCATTATTCCCTTTGCTAGGGAGTCTTGTCTTCTCATAGTATGTCCAAAGTACAACCATCTCAGTTTAGTCTTCTTGGCTTTAATAATAATAATAATAATAATAATAATAATAATAATAATAAATTTTTTTATTTATATCCAACCTTTAACCGAGGCTATCAATCTAAAAGCACAATCCCATACAATACAAAAACATTCCCCCCCAAAAAAATATA